ACGTAAGAGGTTACTAGGAGTCAGAAAAAGCAAGAATTGTTATGGAACAGGTTAAACTGTTCTCAGAGACAGAGAGAGTTTTGTTTTGGCGAGTTTGGAAAACAGATGCCAACTCTACGTCTGAGAGGATGTAAACAAGACAGTTGTTCCAACACATGTCTGCTTCGACTCCTGACCTTGAAAAACGCACACTTGCTCATTCAAAGACAGAAATCAGAAAATGCATAAAAATCTGTAACAGACCTTAACATGAATTCTAACTCTGCATAAGCATTAAAAATCATTATTACTGTTCTACAGTTAATAAAATTGATTAGTTCACTGCAACATCTAAAATGGTTTGAACTAAGACACATTGATTATCAACGTTTGTAAAATAGTAATGATAATAAAAAGAGAGTGTTCTTCCACTTGATTTTCAAGAAAGAGAGTCTCAGGATGGGTGAACCTCTATTTCTGGATTCAAATCAATGGAATGACAGTTCCTGTCCCACAAGGTTCTTAAGGTCAAGGGTTTTGACCTTAGGCTTAGTCTTGACATCAGGTTAAGTTCACTACAGTCCCCCCTTTGGAAATCATCACCTGTCCATGGGGATGAATTCCAAACATGAACTTACGCCTTCGATTGTCCTTGAAGCTTGATGTAATCCAGCAAAGAAACAAGAGTCAAGAGTAATCCAGCAAGGAAAACAAAAGTCAAAAGTAATTCAGCAAGGAAAACAAAGTCAAGGTAATTCCACAATGTTCTTGGCAATTCCATTGTGTTGATTATAATTCCATAACGTCTCGGTAATTCCATTGTAGCAATGCTTTAACCCCTTGGAAACAGAGTCTGTAATCCATTGGAAAAAGTCATATAATCCACAACGGTAAATCCACAACGATTGGAAGTGTTGATTAATCAGCATACAGAGGGGTACCCTTGGATTGAACTGAAGATGCGGCCACTGGATGAAGAGCGGAGACCAACGTCAGGATTGCAGGTCGCCTCCAGCGAAGGTCGTCTCTGGGCGACGTCCAGTCGGTGCCGTTCTGGTTCAAATGTGACGTGCAATTATGTGGTTTAAGGTGGGCTTATGAAGGGGATTTTACATAAGGCCTTAAACTATATGCACCTGGTGTGTAAGCTATTATGATTGGGAACAGCTACAACTAACAGTTAAGGGGTGGAGCATGCTGAAAAGGGGTAACTACAGGGGTTTATACCTATAGAAAAGGTTCCAAACTATTTTTCCATTTCTAACTCGGTTTAAGTTAGCTTTACATGGTAAAATATAGTTTGGTTCAATTGTCTGTTGTCTTTTAGACGAACGACTTGAGATTGGGTGTTTGGTTTCCCCATAAATGTTTTTGGAAGTCTATGGCGAGACTCATCAAAAAGAATTAGCTACCCCCCCGAATAGAATTGTTCGAGTAGGTTTGGCTTAAGCGTTGTGAGATCAATGTAGATTATGGTACTTAAGGTAGCAATAATATACATTGACTCCGCAAAGATTGCAATTTAGCGAATGAACTGCATGTTGGCATGGTTAAAGGCCTCTTAGTCTCTAACTCAACTTACACACAAGACTCATTCTTACCTCAGAAACAACCAAAACCAATTCAACAACGTTTCAACACCGACAAGAGTAGTGACTAAGCAACTAAAAACATCGTTTCACTGCTTCACCTCACCCTGGTTGTCAGATTCAGTCACGCTGTCCCGTGTGAGTGGCTTCTTTGCAGACCCGCATACGCGAGGCATAATCATATCGAGGTGCGCTGCATGGCGATCCACGTCGACTCGGAGTGACGTTTGGCCCCGGAACAGGGATGCGAGTATCCCACACAATACGAGGGTTATCGTCATTAGCAGGGCTATGATTAACGTGTCCGCGCTTGACCACGCATAGGTAATTGGCTGGATCGGGTTCTTAATTGTGGACCTGAGGGACTTGAGAACTCGGTTGATTGGTTCCACGTCAACGACTTGGGTGCCTTCAAAACGGATCCTTCCCAGAGTTTCTGGATCTATGTCTATAGACATATTCCCCAGGTACTCTGAGTCATCCAGAGTCGCGTCCCATTGTTCCGGATCGAGGTGATAGAGCGTCAAATCACCAATGTGTATGGTTGTCCCCTGGGGAACACTGATCCACATTGTT